TAATTTCACATACCTTCACCTGTAATTTCTAAAATACGGCTGAAGATCGACTTTTATAAGTTCGAAACATGCCCCGTTGAATAACTACATCATTATTGAAGTTGTGGAGATGACTTTGAGTTTTTCTTCCTCCTTTTAAAAATTCCACTCCACTTTGATTAAACATGGACTTCTACCGGAGATCGTTTATACATTATTATTTTTCCTAGAGCAACTGTGACGCACTCTGATGTTACATACTGACGACCACTGGGTTCACAGCATTTTTCGCATGACGAACTGGTATAACGGTTCCCATTCAATTAGAATACTGTATATGTAGTATAAAAACAGTGTAACTTCAAGGTCTCTCTACACCTGAAGGGTATAAAAACAAATTAGGAGCTCATCTCAACTAATACTAGTTTTTACATGTGCATTTCTATAGCTTTGCACCTTATGGTGACGAACACTGCTGTTTTTACCTTAGATGTTTCAAAATTCTGTTTCAAATGTGTGCTATCAACATGATAAATCATCTTCCAACACTGTGATTGAAATGGAATTATAGTTGAATGTCACATTGACGTTCAGTTGAAGATAATTACGATTTGTTCTTTAGCATAATTTTAATGCATCCTTCTATTGTGAAAAAAAAAGGATTATCTTGGAAATTTATTTATCCAGTCATGAAAATATGACAGAAGCAAAACGAGAATACATTAAAAGATTTCCGAATGAAACGCCACTTCCAAAAATCACTTTCAAACAAATTTATACCAGATTCATCGCAAGTAGTTCATTGAATAATATACGAAAAGAAGAAAACGTAGAATGGTTTTAACAGAAGAGCGTGAGTTGGAAGTTCCATTGAAATTTATTGAAGAATCTTGCCGCTCTATACAGTGACAGTAGATAGAGAAATGTACATTTCCCAAACAAGTGTGATGACAGTTATGAGAAGAAATGGATATAAACCATATCATGTGCTTCTTGTGCAACATTTGAATGCGGATGAAGAAACAGAAGATTATTCTGTGAAGAAATGATCAATAGAAACAATCAGGACGAACATTTCCGAAAAAAACATTATTTGGACAGATGAATCATCATTCTCTACGAGTGGCATATTCAATAGGAGAAATACCCATGATTGCGAGACTCAGAACCCACATGCTGTGATGCAAGTGAGGAAACAGGGACATAGGACTGTGAACTGTTTGTGTGGAATTCATAAATCCAAAATCATTGGTCCTTTTTTCATTCGTGAGAGATTAGGATCAACAGGTCAGTCTTACCTGAACATTCTGAAAACTGATGTCAAAGACTATTCAGATGAGTTACCACTCATATACATAACAAGGATTTCTTGGCAGCAAGACGGTGCCCCACCGCATAATATTCGAGAGGTGACAGAGTTCTTGAACGACAAATACCATCTCTGGGTAGGGAAAATGGCCACATTTGATGGCCGGCACGGAGACCTGATTTGAATCCACTGGATTTTTGCTTATGTGGTAATGCTCAAAGAGAGAATTTACAGTGAACCCATGGATGATATCGAGCAACTCAAACAATAAATTTAACGAAATGTGGATTTGTTGAATTTGGATGCAGTACTTTTTCAAAGAATTCATTCGAACTCTGGAACGCTGTTTATAATGCATTGAAGTTGACGGTGCTCATGTAAAAACTATCTTATAATCAATTTCAACATATATTTCGTTGTTTTGTTAAACGATAACTAACGGCGTTGCTCAATGTATTTCGGTACGCAGAGTCAACTCATCTTCATAATATAGAGACAATTACCACAAAATCTATTGAACCAATCATATGATGTGTATATATATATATATTTGAAATCAGGTTAATTCAAGGAATTCAAATCTATCAATTCATTGTAACACTGTGAATATAATTGAAACCTGTACAGACAATTGTATGAAATCAGTTTTTGATTTTTTTTAATAGGTGAAAAACGAAAAAGATAAAGGGGGGGTTTACATTAATAAAACTAGCCCTGCACCTGTCCGATTTGGACGTTTTTTGTTGACATGATAGGTGCGTTTTGTGGATTATCTGTGGAATAGAATAGAATGGTTGTGCAAGGAAACAGAATCAACCCGAATAATAGAATACAATAATGATTGTTCAAGAAAACGGATATTACATGTTGGTATAATCTCACTTTTTGAACTTGTGACAAAATTGTGGAGATGTTCAGCAAATGAAATATGAATGAGTGTTCTGATGTAATAGCATTCTTTGCATGGATTTAACTGTATCTCTTTGAAAATGATAATTTATTGAATCCACGAATCTTTAATGAGAAAATCCTTCTGGTAGTGACATAATTCTTGTCCAATTCAAACACAAATACCATAATGTAAATTTTCATGATTTCCACTCACTGAGTTGTTGGGTGAGAGCATGATACTGAAACCAAAGAAGATAAGCTCACGCGCATATTCATTTCCTGTCTCTCTCGCACCGCATACCTCACCACGTGACAAATGTTTGTGGTTTGTTTACATCAGTTTTTTTTTTTTAAACAATGGTTAATTGTGCTGTGGTGGGTTGTTCGAGTAACAACAATAAAAAAAGCAAAAAATTTAACCATTACCGATTCTTTACTTATCCCACATCGGAAGAAATTTGCAATGTATGGGTTCAGAAATGTTACAAGAAGCATACATTCAACATAGAAACTGCTAGAATATGTTCCCAGCATTTTTCAGACGATGATTTCCTATTGAGAGAAATACTTTTGAAATCATCGAAGAATAAATGGAAGTAGAAAACTGATGCCATACCTTCACTAAACCTCCCAAAAACACCAAAACTTAACAGAATCACAGGACAAGCGTGATAGAAGGAATGGAAGGAGGTTTTTGAAAAAAAAAAAGTACATAATGTGTGAGTACCTACTCAGATGGGTATTTTAATTCATATTCTTCTAGTTTGAGCATATTGTGGGGTTTCAGTACTTTGAATTCTTCTTCTGGTATTCAGATTTGGGTAGAAGAATAAGGCTCTTGGAAATACTTATGAACGATAACATTGAGTTATTAAACAATCGACTCTGGGGACTAAACCTACTAATTTGTAATTTGAACATATCCTAGACACTAGTAGTTTTACTGACAGTAGATTTCAGAGTAGAAGTATATTGTGTAGAGCCAGCTGGAAATTTTCTATATTAGTTTAGAAATCGACTTCAGAGATGCATTCTTGATCTTTTGAATGGAATTCTCGAAAAAACAAATACTTTCGAGTAAGTAGGTATCATTCTCTTTCTTCTTTGAACAATACTTGCATGAAATGATAAACAGTGTCCTTATTAATAATGACATCCAAGGAAATAAAATGTTGTAATATTTTGATTTCCCCATTTTATAATATTTGATTCATCACAAATATAATTCTAAGACACCTAATCCACGAATAATAGGTCTATCGTAATCCAATCATATCAAAATCATCAAAAATTTGAATAAATTGCTCCAAAAGATACGATTTACTGACCGCCGACAAGAATATTTGTCTCTTAGTGACGTCATGCGCGAAGCTGTTGAAAACGCGTACGCCATAATCATAATCATCTTCACTTTGTTTTAGTAACATGGGTGAGAGGAACAGAAAGACAATGACCACCCATTTTCTTCGATTTCCCTTCTTGTCATCTAATTCCGTCGTTTTGTTCGATCGAGATATATCGAGCAGCCAGAGCAAATAACTTTCGAAATTGTTGGCGCGAATTCATAGAATATCTCAAGAAAACCCATGGAATATATCGAGGGTCATCTCACGTAATGACGTATCTCAGTTTTCTCATAACTTTACAGGAGTGCAATTCAAAGATTTTCAACATCTTAATTCGCTCATAATTCAAGAGGTTTCTTTATTAAAGATAATTGTTTTTTCATTTATTTTAGAAAAAAATATGTTTATGATATACGTCACTACGTGAGATCATATTTGTTAATAAGGCCTTATAGATACGTCATGAATATAAAGTGAATTCAAATGAATATCAGATCCGAGTAATCATTCTTATTGATGAAAAACAACATGTGTACAATACCTTACAATACCCCTCTCAGCACTTTCAGACGTCACCCGAGATATTTTAATTTCCGTTTCAAACTGGATTATGAGATACGTCACAGTTGATATTTCAAACAAATAATAAAAGTATATCTCATGTATCGACGTAACTCCCATAGTTAGGTTTCTTCGTGAGATTTGGTAGTCCAATAATCCGAGAAAGGCTGAGTATTCGATATCCAATTACACGAAAAACAATGAACATTGAGCTACGCCACTTTGTGAGATCATGGAGTATGAGAATATAAGTCGTTTGACGAAGTATCTCAAATTCCGATTTTTACGTCATTACGTGAGATGACCCACGATATGTCACAGAACTAGGTTAGCGTCAACAAAACGCAGCTGTTATTTCCTTCTAAACATTGGTGTGCAAACTGTAATCGCTTAAGAACCCCATTTTCATGAATACAGGGCGGAAATGAAAAAATAAATAATAATAAATGGATGTTTATGAATAAATAATAAATAAATGTTTATTGATCCCTTAAGCTAGCATAAAAACAAGATGGGACATATCGTTACAAGTAATGAGAGAGATGCAAAAGTAAATAGCGGCGATAATTTCTGGTTATAGACCATGTTGTCAAGTTCACATTCGATCTTGAGTAACATTTATAGCTAGATAATTCAAACTTTCATGCACTAGTACTCCATCCTGCAGATAAATGATCATCTATGTTATTATGAACACGCTTGAAAAAAGTTGGAAATATTTCGGAAAATATCCAAAAATCAATTCTATTATAAATAAAATGATAAATAAAGTTGGGTAATGAAGTTCTTTTCAGCTATTCCTCATCATTTCTGTCTTTTTCCATTTGTGTATTTATTAGTAAGGATAGATAGATACCCAATAATAACCATGTCTTATGTTACAAAAAAAAATAAAAAAAATAATAATAACTTACTTGAATTCAACATTTAGAATCTTCTTGGAAGGTATCGAAAATAATTGTTTCCTACAAAAAAAAATAATGAAAATAATAAAATGAAACAAAACCATACTATAAATAGAAATAAAATGCAAATAAACACAATCAGTATAATACTCCAAACTTTTGCAGAAAAATATCAGTATATTTTTTTCAGTAATGTTGAATCGATATTAAACTGCTATCATAACCATGAGGCGAGTGAAGAAATCATATGCAAAAGTAATATTGATTATAATACAACACTTCACTTTCTGCACGTTTCTTCGACAGAAGTAAATAATTTCGACAAATATTATTTTATATCGAGTACACACTTTTTTCAATGTGGAGGGGGGAATAGGTGTATTTTGGATCTGAACGGTATTTACTTTTTTTTAAACCAGGAATTACTAGATCACATTCAGTAGCTGAGAAATTCAGAATTCATATTGGCCATTTTTTTAGAGAAAAAAAAGCTCCGTACGCCACTGAATTGACTGAGTTTTCTGAATATTTTTCGTCTTCACCCAAATGTTTATCTTCCTCTTTGAGAATCGATGAATCTTATATTCTTTGATATATCGGAATCATTCTATAGGGTCAATAGATAGGAGATTCGATAATTTTTTTTACATTTCCATGATTCTGGAGAAACTATCAGAAATCTGTCAAATTTGGGAAAGTTCAAGTAGCCATCATTCTTCCTCATATTTTTCGAATAGTACCAATTGTTTTTGCACTAAATGTGAAAGAATTCAATTCCATATCAATCTGTATCGATGTTTCCTATACCTATACTAGATAGTTTTCGAGTTATGATCACTATCCTCAAAGTAGTTTCTGCATAGTTTACCGCATGGAAATGAGGAAGGTCTTCATTTTGTTCAATGAACTTTTTCTTGTCAGATCTTCATTTATCATTAGAAAATATATGGAAAATTCGAGTTATTCAAATGACGACTTGATAAATTCATAATGTATTCATGAAGAATGTAGTAAAATAGTGAACAGATCTCTTCGTTTATTCCACGAGAAATATCCTCACTTGCAACCTTGGTCCTCATCTCGTTGCTTTTACTTGTCCAAACTATAAAAATTTAGATTTCGATACTTTGAACCCACTTATTCAATTTTGCTACTGTAAGGATAGTGATGAATTTCCCTCAATATCGGGATAATATCATCATAACTTGAAAACCTCTAGACAAAGGTATGAGGAACATGAAAACAGATCGATGAGGGAATACATTTTTCATTATTAAGTTATAATAGTTTCGCATTCCAATTGAAAAAAAATAGTTTTCCTGAAATTCCCAAAATATGTTCACAAATTCGAATTTTTAATCGAATTTTTCCAGAAAATGATTTTAAAAAGTCTGATGCATATCTTGAAAACTTGATTACAATAGGGAAGGCTAATTAGGATCATCTCAAAATAACGTAAGAAATCTGAAGTTCCAATACAAAATTACAGCTTTTCATTGACGAAGTTGATGCGTCACTTCCGGTGTGAACGAAAGTGCCGCCATCTTTAGAACAGTTTCATTGAACAGGACTCAATCGATAACCTCTGTATTCCAATCTCCAGATGAGTGTCATTTTCAGAATTACAAATATGTCTGATGTGCGATTTAGACGAAACAGCCTGTATGCTTATACATGATGTTCGGTATACCATGGACCATACCCCTAGCTGGTCATGAACAAGTTGATAACCTATCAGAGAAAACCTTTACTTGCCCTCAGAAATAACCCCACGGTTGTGAAAGTATCAGAACTAATATAAAAAAAAACCAATCCTTATGTTTCAAGCAGAAGCGTTCCATTTTGATTCTTATTGTCGATGGATATTTCTGAATTGTAGTTGTTACAATCGCAGATTTGCAATAGCAGTCATTCACGGTCTACATAAAAAATATCTTTCAATTCGGATCCTTCATGATTTTCTATCATGAAACGTTGTTGATTTTTCTGTAGACCGTAAATGAAAGATATCGATTATTTTATTCACACCAGGCCGCACCTATGAAACTTCATGATTGAAGTCTCATGATATGCGATATCAGCGGCTATTTAGGTGAACAAACAATATGAGCGGTTATTCTTATCGATAGCATAAGAGTGCTATGGTGAATGTCGAAGATTGACATATATCACTCAAAACTTGAAATATTTCATTTTGGGTCAACTTCCACTACAGAACTCAGTAATAATGTAAGCGAATCAATACCAGAAGAAAACCATGAAGAATAAAGAGTCTGTCTGATAAAATTTATTTTTTTTGCCAGGAGAAGAACTGAATTTTGTGCGAAAATCCAGATTCTCCTGATCGCCGAAATCATAGAAAATTGGAGATGGGATGCGTTAGAGAATGGTGAAGGAGTGAACAGTGAAATTGATGTGGATTTCAACTGCGAAAACTATATAGAAAGTACATATATGTATACTGCAATTAAAATAAATGTGAGATGAATACATTCAAAGATATTGAACTCATAGGTGCCAGGGATGCGCGTAATGCAAAAATGCGAAGTCAACAACATTTTTCGCAAAAAAGGAAGGAAGCTATGACGAGAATACGACAGACGGGGCCTTCAGAACAAAATTTTTCAGATGATTAGTATCTGTAGAGTTATAGAAATTGAACTTGAACCAAATTTTGAAACTTCCATTTATATGGATATATTCTTATGCTCTTCATGAAATAATCTTTCTCAATATCACTCGACCATGACAATTAGTAACTATTTTATTTCCTTCAATTCATCTCAAGTAACTCGTATTTTCAGACAATTCAATTCGATCCTATGAACAATAATAATCAAATAATATTTTATTCAGATCATAATGTTGATATGGTCTCATCAAATTGTTAAAAAAATACAAGGATAGTCTCGAAATAATTATGAATGGAATAATAGTCGGCTATTTGTCATGGTCTCGGGATATCACATATTATTGGGTGAAATATATGTATTGATAATCGAAAATATGATGTCTTCGTTTTTGTATTTCCGCTGTTGATTGGCTACTGGATGCCTATATGCATGTGTTCTTGATTTTGTATTTGTACCTATATAGAATATAAATCAAAATAGCATAGAAAAGACTTACTTGCAGTAATTTGTCATGAACATGAATGTCATAATATTTTCAAATTCATCAGGGTTGAAAATAGCACTCAACACTTTTGAGACAAAATGGTGATAGGCACTGACTTTGTATCGAAGACTTTAAGTATGATCGCAGGTGGGTATTGGGGATTTTTTTCAACGTTTAGAGATTATAAGTTCTTGGGAGTACTCTGTTTTGCAAAAATTCCGAAGCATTGCCGGTCTATGTACAAACGAGTTTTGGTAGAGAGTTGTTCGACATATTTCCAGGTTAACAACAAAAAAGTGTGCTGACTGGTCTTTTCGACTACGTCTGAGTGATGAGAATGAAATAATGAGATTGTTACATGATTCCTACTCATATTGCGTGGAATTTATAGAAAATGATCAAATTATAGAGATGCTAGATGACAACTTACTGCTCATTAGGTAGTCAGGCAAGGACGGAGAAATGTACCAGAGCAGGTAATTGCGAGTATACATTCCAGTTTTTTGACAATTTATTTGGACATTCCCCATTTTACCGTTGAATCTTTGGACTCATTTTTTGTCTTCGATGATTTTTTTATCCAAATATAATCTTTATTTTAGTTGTTCAACTTTATTGCACATTATACCCCATCAAATGAATCCAGGTGGTTTGATTTCAGTTTCCTCTAACTTCCAGTAAGTGAGGACGTTTTACACTTTGAAATGTGCTGTTTTCGAAACTTACGTTTTGTGACATTCACCCTTTTTCCCCTGTGGTCTTTTGAATTGTTGTATACTATACCTTCTGCGATCACTACAACTACAATTCAGTAATATTTTAGAAGAATGAAAATCGATATGGAACGCTCATTATCAGCTCGGAACATGAAAATACGAATTGAATTTGTCTCAGAGAAGTTCCAGTATTTCGAAGTTTTCACGGAGGTCAAGTTGTGGTTTTCTGATAGGTTATGAAATTATCTATTACCAGATGCAGTATGATACATGGGTTACCGAACATCTTGTATATATAACATCGGAAGATCAAATTGTTAATGAATGATAACATGATGAATCGGATAATTATGTCCTCGTTGATTCTAGACAAGGTGTTTTATTCGAAAACAAAGATACGTCGTGAATAGAGGTCACCGGAGTGCTTCTGAAAATACAAGGTGTTCATGACTATCATGTAGGTACATATTGAGGAAAACAATTTGTTGAATCTTTTGATAGGACTGAGAGTTTATGTGAACATCTGACTTCCTTTGAGTATTTTTAGCAATCGACCAAATAGCTGAATGAAAAAAAACATCGATTTATTTCAATCCATTTCATGCAGCTACTTGTTTTCTTCTTTTCTACCAGGTATATGAAATGTGACCATACTGACAATTAATTTAGATTTCTTGTCTATTAACACTACTATAAAATGAGGGTTCTTGCGAATAGTCACTTACCCCTATCAACCTGTTCAATAATATCTCAGGTGAAGAGCTGTTATTTTTTATAGGTAGGTAAATATTTATTGTTAGTGGCTGCACGACTTGACTTCTAGTGCTAGCTTAACAATAATGGGCGATCAAGGGTTAATTTAAGTACTCATTTCCGAATGCATCATTCGCATTCTCAAATCCTCAAGTTAGATCTGAATTGAATCGTGCATGAAATCAAGTAAAAACATATCTTCCCGAAGTGAAGGGGTCACGAGCTCTGTGGTATGTGTATTTCTGGTAAATTGAAATCCACGACTTATTAAGATTGACGATATTCGCTAAATGAAGACTTTATGGTGTTACTGAAGTTGAAAAAATAGTTTATGCTGGGCTCAAGGACCTCTCGTAAGGTCTATGGCCAGTTGGTATGTACCGAGGTAGGAGGTATGTGCATACATACAAACGAAGTACATTATATACTGTCTGTAGGTTAATCGAGGAGGTGGTATATTCATTATTCCAAATT